CTCCGCTTGTGCTGTACAGTTTATGACCATAGCAATAAATGATACAAAGCCCACCTTTTTAACATGTAATATTTCATGATAACCCATACTTAACGAGATAACCCATACTTTCTGAGATTGTACAAAGCATCAGTTTAGGAAATCCTAGACCTACAGATGTAGGATCATAATTTGATCACCCTGTTGCAGGATAACTTTCTTGCAAGGCAGGAAATGTAAAACTTTTGTGTATTTGAGGTTTAAAAAGGCTTGAAATTTCAGACTTGATTTTCCAGTACGAAAAATGTATCATCCCTACAAAAATGTCCATTAATTATAATCCACATAATAATTCACGTTTCCTGTTGCTACAGGATTATTTTCCTTCTGTAGCAACCTGGCTCAAATTAAGATCCTACATCTGTAGGGCAACTGAAACATTGTTTACATTGTGGGAGGCAACCTGTCTGCCTATGGAGACTAAGCATTTGGTTCCATAATAAACCGCTTTACTACAAGAAACCATTTCTTTTCAATAAACATATAGTATTTTGGGCTATAGTTGATCAAATTTGAAACAAAGTAAAGTACAGAATACTGATATGTGATTTTTTTTATTCAGCTGATACATTTATTTGATTGAGCAGCTGCATTATATACAAGTATAAAAATTCCAGCATATCATTTCAAGATCATTTCAATAATAAAATCTCAAATGATGAGGTCCTCTGTAGCTCAGCTGGTAGAGCACGGCGCTTGTAACGCCAAGGTAGTGGGTTCGATCCCCGGGACCACCCATACACAAAAATGTACGCAAGCATGACTGTAAATTGCTTTGGCTAAAAGTGTCTGCTAAATGGCATATTATATTATTATTGTTATGAGGATTTGTACAAAACAAGAACTAAAAAGCACCAATGATCAGTCTCAGCCAGCTAAGGCAATCATGTTCAATGTTGATGTTAGGCTACTAATTGCATGTGTTTAGGGATTTTTTTTTAATGAACCCCTGTACATTTCTTACAAAAACACCAACAGCTGCAGGAGCCTAAGAAATCCCTGTTACCTATCAGTGATTCAAGTGTGTTCAGTGAAAAAAAAAAAAAAAAAAAACGTTTTGCTGATAAAGAATACGCCGTATACTAGAAAGGACACTGTTGTCTTCTTGTACTCCACAAAATGATGAGAGCCTTGTGTCTACCCTTTTAGGAAACATTTCTATCTGCAATGCTTGGAATGTTCTTCCTGGAGTTTGGTATGGGAGGTGGCTACTGATTGGAAGTTGAGTACTTACAGTGGGGGAAAAAAGTATTTAGTCAGCCACCAATTGTGCAAGTTCTCCCACTTAAAAAGATGAGAGAGGCCTGTAATTTTCATCATAGGTACACGTCAACTATGACAGACAAAATGAGAAAATAAAATCCAGAAAATCACATTGTAGGATTTTTTATGAATTTATTTGCAAATTATGGTGGAAAATAAGTATTTGGTCAATAACAAATGTTTCTCAATACTTTGTTATATACCCTTTGTTGGCAATGACACAGGTCAAACGTTTTCTGTAAGTCTTCACAAGGTTTTCACACACTGTTGCTGGTATTTTGGCCCATTCCTCCATGCAGATCTCCTCTAGAGCAGTGATGTTTTGGGGCTGTCGCTGGGCAACACGGACTCCCTCCAAAGATTTTCTATGGGGTTGAGATCTGGAGACTGGCTAGGCCACTCCAGGACCTTGAAATGCTTCTTACGAAGCCACTCCTTCGTTGCCCGGGCGGTGTGTTTGGGATCTTTGTCATGCTGAAAGACCCAGCCACGTTTCATCTTCAATGCCCTTGCTGATGGAAGGAGGTTTTCACTCAAAATCTCACGATACATGGCCCCATTCATTCTTTCCTTTACACGGATCAGTCGTGCTGGTCCCTTTGCAGAAAAACAGCCCCAAAGCATGATGTTTCCATCCCCATGCTTCACAGTAGGTATGGTGTTCTTTGGATGCAACTCAGCATTCTTTGTGCTCCAAACACGACGAGTTGAGTTTTAACCAAAAATTTATATTTTGGTTTCATCTGACCATATGACATTCTCCCAATCCTCTTCTGGATCATCCAAATGCACTCTATCAAACTTCAGACGGGCCTGGACATGTACTGGCTTAAGCAGGGGGACACGTCTGGCACTGCAGGATTTTAGTCCCTGGCGGCGTAGTGTGTTACTGATGGTAGGCTTTGTTACTTTGGTCCCAGCTCTCTGCAGGTCATTCACTAGGTCCCCCCGTGTGGTTCTGGGATTTTTGCTCACCGTTCTTGTGATCATTTTGACCCCACGGGGTGAGATCTTGCGTGGAGCCCCAGATCGAGGGAGATTATCAGTGGTCTTTCTTGTATGTCTTCCATTTCCTAATAATTGCTCCCACAGTTGATTTCTTCAAACCAAGCTGCTTACCTATTGCAGATTCAGTCTTCCCAGCCTGGTGCAGGTCTACAATTTTGTTTCTGGTGTCCTTTGACAGCTCTTTGGTCTTGGCCATAGTGGAGTTTGGAGTGTGACTGTTTGAGGTTGTGGACAGGTGCCTTTTATACTGATAACAAGTTCAAACAGGTGCCATTAAAACAGGTAACGAGTGGAGGACAGAGGAGCCTCTTAAAGAAGAAGTTACAGGTCTGTGAGAGCCAGAAATCTTGCTTGTTTGTAGGCGACCAAATACTTATTTTCCACCATAATTTGCAAATAAATTCATAAAAAATCCTACAATGTGATTTTCTGGATTTTTTTCTCTCAATTTGTCTGTCATAGTTGATGTGTACCTATGATGAAAATTACAGGCCTCTCTCATCTTCTCAAGTGTATAAAGTTCTCAAGTGGGAGAACATGCACAATTGGTGGCTGACTAAATACTTTTTTTCCCCACTGTATAAGACGGAACATTATACATATTCCTTTATGCAAGCTACTGCATGCAAAGATACTGTATGCTCCCTGAGACCTTCCTGAATTCCCTGTTCGTTGGTTGGCCATTACATATACACTACATGACCAAAAGTATGTGGACATCTCATATGGAGTTGGTCCCCCCTTTGCTGCTATAACAGCCTCCACTCTTCTGGGAAGGCTTTCCACTAGATGTTGGAACATTGCTGCGGGGACTTGCTTCCATTCAGCCACAAGAGCATTAGTGAAGTCAGGCACTGATGTTGGGCAATTAGGCCTGGCTCGCAGTCAGTGTTCCAATTTATCCCAAAGGTGTTCGATGGAGTTGAGGTCAGGGCTCTGTGCATCCTATGATGGTGCCACGTTGGAAGTCCCTGAGCGCTTCAGTAAAGCCATTCTACTGCCAATGTTTGTCTATGGAGATTGCATGGCGGTGTGCTCGATTTTATACACCTGTCAGCAACAGGTGTGGCTGAAATAGCTGAATCCACTCATTTGAAAGGGTGTCCACATACTTTTGTGTATATAGTGTACATATGTAGGATCTTAATTTGAGCCAGTTTACTACAGCATTAAATGTGAATTGTTCTGTGGATTATAATTAATGGACATTAATACACTACAAGTTTGCAAATTCTCAGCAACAAAAGAGTGATCAAATTAAGATCCTACATTTACATTTACATTTTAGTCATTTAGCAGACGCTCTTATCCAGAGCAACTTACAGTTAGTGAGTGCATACATACATCTGTAGAGACAGACCACTACAATACTGAATTGCTTTATGATGGAAAACATGATGGAAAAAATGTAATGCACTGGTCTCAATGGCCCGTATTCACAAAGAGTCTCAGAGTAGGAGTTCTGATCTAGGATCAGGTCCCTCTTTAAGGAATACCCCCCCCCCCCCCCCCCCCACTCTGAAACACTTTGTGAACACAGGCCAATAATGAACCCCCACCTCTTGAGCAATCCTGGCATTGCTGAGCAGCTGCAGGGACAGGGTATGCTGCTTTTCTTTGGGCTTCAGCACTTAGGCTAATTGATTGAACAAAAAGATGACTCGGAAAGCAATTGCTCAGTGCTAAAGTGCTTGGGCAGGAGAGCCAGCCGTCCAACATAATGCCTCTTTATTAGAATACTTGAAATAGATCTATAGCACTTCAATTTAGTTAGGTTTGAATGCACATAATATACATCATGTAGTGTGCACAGCAGCTTCAGTGCCGTGTTGAATATCAAGACTGCACCTGAGACTGTACCATAAGAATGAGCTGAAACGAGTACTGATAGTATGCGGTGCATGTTTTTTTTTACAAATAAGAAATAGGCCAGTAAATGTACAAATGTCAAGCATGGCTGAAAGAGGGTTTTCTTGTGTCCATCACTGACAACAGGGAGGGAATCGGTTAATTACAAGAGATCAGGGTTTTAGAACAGATTGGTCATTATCTAATCTGAAGAAACAAGCTCAACAACTCAAAAGCGAGTTCCTTGGCTCCTCAAGTACAAGCAGTGGTTTTTCAGTGAGCAACTTTGGGAAGGTCAGTGATGACCTATAGGACAACATTAGCTGTGCCCAAATGGAACACATTGTAGAGAGGTTGAATCCAATGCATCGGATACAAAACAGACCTTTAGGGCATAGGACTGTTCATATACAAAATAGGTTGTTGGCTATAATGGAAAGCTTTACAGCATAATAAACTGCTGCTGTGAAAACAAATGGAAATAGGTTCAAAATAACCATTATATATAGAAATCAAAACAACATTATATAAATTATTCATTACATGATAAACATCTATGTAAACTAAAACACAATTGTGCGAAAGAACTTTGGAAATTGATGCCCGCTCAAAGAGTCATTTATGTGGAGAACGTCGACTAGAGAATTGATTGATCTCCACCAAAAATATCAAATGGAAAGAGGAGTAATGCCCTCACAAAATGGCGGAGCGATTCCCTTTGTCTTCTTGTTCTCTAGTTGTCTTGGGGTCCTGAACACAGGCTCTTATCCTATCTCTGTGAGTCCAAGGAGGTGGGAAATGAGCCTTTGGGGCCCATGTCTCCCTCTCTAGCTGAAACACACGGGCCCGATGGTGAAGCCAAACTTGCGTGCGACAATTCCGCCCCCGAACACAGCCACATCTCTCACAGGAAGCAGATTGAGGTCCTCAAACTCAAACACAGACTCCCGCGGCTCCAGCGGGTCCACCTCTTCTCCCGGCTGCCACAGCAAAAACACAGAAACAACAATTATGCAGTTGGCCAATAATAAACATCAGCAATCATGACATTTTTTTTTTTTAAATCCTATTTCTCATACTTTATCTCTCTGGTGATATCCCATTGTCACTCTTAGCAAGAAGTGCATAACTCTAAAACCCTTGTAAGTGAAATACTTACAGTCAAATTATATTTCAAAAAAACTTACCATGCAGTCTTTAAGTGCTCCTAAGTAACTCTGTCTCCTTGTGTCTGTCAGGAACTTGACCTCTCTGTCTGTGTGGCCCAGTCTGTGTCCCGGGTGGCAGGTGTAGGTGATCTTCTGCACAGCTCTCCAACTCTGCAACCTCAGGAAGCGCATCTGGACCACATTGGCCCCTGGATAATAGAACTGCCAGTGGACAGCAGAAAGGGGGATATTATGCTTTTTAACTCTGCTATGAGAGACATCAGTACAAATGTAATACACTCAATTGATGCAGTTACAATTCGATTAGCTTTCCGTTACTATAAATAGAATAGTTGACACTAGAGAAAGAGGGTATACAGTGGGGGAAAAAAGTATTTATTCAGCCACCAATTGTGCAAGTTCTCCCACTTAAAAAGATGAGAGAGGCCTGTCATTTTCATCATAGGTACACGTCAACTATGACAGACAAAATGAGAAAAAAATATCCAGAAAATCACATTGTAGGATTTTTAATGAATTTATTTGCAAATTATGGTGGAAAATAAGTATTTGGTCAATAACAAAAGTTTCTCAATACTTTGTTATATACCCTTTGTTGGCAATGACACAGGTCAAACGTTTTCTGTAAGTCTTCACAAGGTTTTCACACACTGTTGCTGGTATTTTGGCCCATTCCTCCATGCAGATCTCCTCTAGAGCAGTGATGTTTTGGGGCTGTCGCTGGGCAACACAGACTTTCAACTCCCTCCAAAGATTTTCTATGGGGTTGAGATCTGGAGACTGGCTAGGTCACTCCAGGACCTTGAAATGCTTCTTACGAAGCCACTCCTTCGTTGCCCGGGCGGTGTTTTTGGGATCATTTTCATGCTGAAAGACCCAGCCACGTTTCATCTTCAATGCCCTTGCTGATGGAAGGAGGTTTTCACTCAAAATCTCACGATACATGGCCCCATTCATTCTTTCCTTTACACGGATCAGTTGTCCTGGTCCCTTTGCAGAAAAACAGCCCCAAAGCATGATGTTTCCACCCCCATGCTTCACAGTAGGTATGGTGTTCTTTGGATGCAACTCAGCATTCTTTGTCCTCCAAACACGACGAGTTGAGTTTTTACCAAAAAGTTCTATTTTGGTTTCATCTGACCATATGACATTTTCCCAATCCTCTTCTGGATCATCCAAATGCACTCTATCAAACTTCAGACGGGCCTGGACATGTACTGGCTTAAGCAGGGGGACACGTCTGGCACTGCAGGATTTGAGTCCCTGGTGGCGTAGTGTGTTACTGATGGTAGGCTTTGTTACTTTGGTCCCAGCTCTCTGCAGGTCATTCACTAGGTCCCCCCGTGTGGTTCTGGGATTTTTGCTCACCGTTCTTGTGATCATTTTGACCCCACGGGGTGAGATCTTGCGTGGAGCCCCAGATCGAGGGAGATTATCAGTGGTCTTGTATGTCTTCCATTTCCTAATAATTGCTCCCACAGTTGATTTCTTCAAACCAAGCTGCTTACCTATTGCAGATTCAGTCAACCTGTCCAGGTTGTGGACAGGTGTCTTTTATACTGATAACAAGTTCAAACAGGTGCCATTAATACAGGTAACGAGTGGAGGACAGAGGAGCCTCTTAAATAAGAAGTTACAGGTCTGTGAGAGCCAGAAATCTTGCTTGTTTGTAGGTGACCAAATACCTATTTTCCACCATAATTTGCAAATAAATTCATTAAAAATCCTACAATGTGATTTTCTGGATTTATTTTTCTCATTTTATCTGTCATTGTTGACGTGTACCTATGATGAAAATTACAGGCCTCTCTCATCTTTTTAAGTGGGAGAACATGCACAATTGGTGGCTGACTAAATACTTTTTTTCCCCACTGTATTTCAGAGGAGAAATAGAGAAAACAGTCAACCTGAAATCCTTGTTCCTGCTTGCTGAGCCATTGGAACGAGCTGTTTGTCTCTGAATCCTTAAGCCAGGCCTTCATGGGCATCTTCAGGTAGAAACCAATATGATTATGTATTATGAGTATGGGTATTAAGTATGAATATGATTGTGGACATTAGCTTGCAGGACCTGCTCAAATTGTCAGACACACACTGCTTGATGGCATGAATTCTAAAAAGTTAACACTGAAATCTGGAGGCATATTTAAAAATGTGTCTGTTGACAGTCTCTGTTCTTGATATTGGCATTTAGCTCAAAGGCATAAAAAACAAACAAATAAATTGGATTCCTGTTAAAAATGGATTTATTCTCTGCTTGTCCAGACAGCATCTCATTACATTTACATTTACATTTTAGTCATTTAGCAGACGCTCTTAACCAGAGCGACTTACAGGAGCAATTAGGGTTAAGTGCCTTGCTCAAGGGCACATTAACGTCATTTAGCAGACGCTCTTAGCCAGAGCGACTCACAAATTGGTGCGTTCACCCTATAGCCAGTGGGATAACCACTTTACAATTTGGGGGGGGGGGGGGGGGGGGGGGGGGGGGGGGGGGTTAGAAGGAATACTTTAGCCTATCCCAGGTATTCCTTAAAGAGGTGGGGTTTCAAATGTCTCCGGAAGGTGGTGAGTGACTCCGCTGTCCTGGCGTCGTGAGGGAGCTTGTTCCACCATTGGGGTGCCAGAGCAGCGAACAGTTTTGACTGGGTTATTATTCTGTAGCCATTTGGTATTGCAGGATTATTTCCACTGTGGGTTTGATAGAGAGGTGTGAGGGTGAGAGGTGTGATATGGGGAGTACTGATGATGTTATTGTCTACCTGGGCATCTCTGGGGTGAAGGCAAGTGTGTGCAGCTGTGCCAGAGAAGTTGCAGTAGGCCAGGAGAGCATCAGCAGGGCTGCCCTGGTTAGGATCAATGTAATACATCCCTGTACAGACAGACAGCAACCAGAACCTCAGTGTATCCTCATCCTGTCCTGTAACATTCATGTATATTCACTAGTTGTTATACGCTATGATGTGCAAGGACACTCCTAAAGAGCTAAGAGATCTTCCTTTGAGAACTAGCCATACAATAGATAACATTGTCTTTATCTACTGTGCTTCTAATTTGCTTTGACAACTTGGGAGCCATGGGATTAGGATGCTGTGGCCATTCTAATGAGCCTTTAAAGCAGCACAATGGGCTTTGGGTCATAGATATACAATGCAGGTATAGACAGAGGGTTTCTGACCACTGGTGTAATCGGGATGGCAGAGCCACAGCTCCATGCAGGTGGTGGCAGGGTGCTCCTTGCTGCCGTCAGGGGGGTCCACCAGCAGCCTCAGGTCCTGGTGCAGAGAGTCCAGCAGGGTCTGGATCAGGGGGTAGTTGGGCTTGTCTGACAGGTACATCAGGTCCTACAATGGTGATGAGAATGATAATTATGGAGTTATTCCTTTCACCACTTCATCTAATGGCTTATCTAATCTGAGTCCCAAAAGTAGGGTACTATGTAAGGAATAGGGTGCCATTTGGGACACAGACCTACTTGCCGAAGATGAATGACTTGCCTTGAGTTGAGTAAGGTTCATATTCACTGAAGGACCTGGATGTCCTGGGAGTCCAGGTGCGCCCTGAAACGAACGCAACAGAAAAGAGTGGGACTAGGGTTGTAAAACTCCACTAACTTTCTCAAAATACCCAGGTTTTCCAGAAATCCCTGTTGGAATATTCCTCGGATCAGGTGGGAATAAGCAGGAAATCCGGGAATCCTCCAACAAGTATTTCTAGAAAATCTGGGAATTTCGGGAACATAATCAGAATTGTGTGACCCTAAGTGGGAGATTACTGTGTGATGGATGCAATGTTTTTTTGTCTCTGAGGTCAATCTTCAGCATTTGACGACATTTACTATGGACCAATGCGTATGAAATCAGTGCCACTTACCGGCAGGCCCTTCTTCCCAGGTTGCCCAGGAAATCCCTCAAAGCCTTTCAAACCCTATGGAAATACAGACCATATAGTGAGATGAGAGTGGATTTCTACCATTCCATACTTGCTATGCCATATTCAAATGTAGTTAGATAAGGAAATGCACACTGTAGTACTATCCCATTACTTTCCCCTCTGTATTTTCCATTGTGATGACATATGTGGTTGTGAATGTTTGCTTTCAATCTAGAGACTGTGAGAAAAAGCTAACATGCAACTCTACATTACATTTACATTTTTTACATTTACATTTACATGGGGTTTGGTTTAGAAATGTGGAGAAAAAAAAACAAGAAAATAATTTGTTATATCATACCTTTTCTCCAAACAAACCCTACAGATGGCGAGAATAAAAAGGAGATGAGTTTGACTCTCAGTTCTGAAGCACACCGCTCTGCACAGATGTTGCAACCTTGCAATGCCTTGACTCACTGCATTATGATCACATTAGCTGCAGCTTCACTGCTTTTAAGAGCCGAGGCAATGGCGAATTGAACAGAGTAATAATCTACAGCTTAACCCTGAGAGAATGGCAGAATGGAAGGACAGTCTGGTGATGATAAAGAAATTGACTTATATAAGACAGTCTGCAATTTAAAAGGAATTATAGACATGATCATAATCATGATAACTTATTTTTAAGCATTCACATAGTCTTTGTCTTGATGGTTAATAGACAGAGAGGTTGTTAAGCTACGTGGCTGAAAAATTGACTTAGTGGTCTAGTGCTCGTTTGTTCTTGCAAGAACTAGGATTTTACTTTGGCTGTGCCCCAAATGGCACACAGATTCCATATATAGTGCAGTACCCTATGGGCCCTGGTCAAAAGTAGTGCATTACTTAAGTAATGGGGAGCCATTTGGGAGGATTGAAAGGGCTTGGGAAGATATTTCTGAGATGAACCAGGAAGGGTTACTTACAGGTAGTCCTGGCATCCCAGGAGTTCCTCTTGGCCCGGATGGTCCAATATTCCCCTGGTGGGAAATAATAGATAATGAAACATTAATGAAAAGTTAGAAAGCAGAAAAACTCAGATAGATCACTATTGATTCAATGAGCTTCATGGCTTTTGGCAATTGTCACTAGTGGCTATGGTGCTATCATAGAGAGTCCTTGCTATAGATGGTTGGAAAGGAAGGGTGTGTTGAGATAGTGTTGTTTTACCTGGTCTCCCTTTGGGCCTGTCTGTCCTGGCACCCCAACAGGACCCTGCCTACCCTGTAAAACATACAGTTAGTCAGTCTGTCACAGCCCATCTCCTACTTACAGCACAGTATTTTAGGCAACGTCATATTTCTGGAATGCTGCCAAACCTGTCCGTATGTTGTTTTTCTATAATAATAATAATAATAATAATAATAATAATAATAATAATAATAATATGGGATTAGGATGCTACTGTGGCGTTAAAACTGACACCAAGGCTTGTTTGTTGTGGCTCAGAGTAGGAGTGCTGATCTAGGATCAGTTTTGCATTCTAGATTGTAGTTAATGGACAGGGGGACCTGATCCTAGATCAGCACTCCTACTCTGAGACGCTTTATGAATACCAGACGTTTTTCACTCAAAACGTACCTTTAGGCCATCACCCCCTGGCGGACCGAGCGGCCCCATGTCCCCCTTCTCTCCCTGTGGGGAGGAACATATAGGGTAAATAAGTCTTCACAATGCAACTCTCTCTGATTCACTAGTATCAATAATTCAACATGATCTATTCATACCTCGCTCCCCTTTTCACCCTGATCCCCTCTGTCTCCTCGCAAGCCTGGGATTCCCTGAGAGAGAAAAGACATCCATCAGTTATGTATAAATCATGTAAAAATGCATTGCTTTCAACGTCCTTTTATCTCTAATAAAATAATACAGTTTACAGGGAAGTACATCAAAGACTATCCCTGCCTGGGATTGAATTATGAAATGGTGAAACAGAGTGGATGACGACAGTCCTAATTGATGAGACAGTATAAATCTGTTGAACTTACTATAGACCCGGCCCATCCTGGAGGACCAGTCAATCCCACATTTCCCCTCTTTCCCTATAGGAATGACAGGACACAACGTTCGTGCACACCATGATATGTATAGTATATAGCATGGTTAAGAGATTGGAGTGTGGGTGTGTGTGTGTGTGTGCATGTGTAACCCTTCACATCACCCAACCTCTGACCTTTGGTCCTCTCTCTCCTCTTGTGCCCCTGATTCCAGCCTTGCCTCTTTTCCCCTGTGGATGTTTACAATGTTGGTGAATGAGGCAAGGGTAAAACACATGGTAAAACACACTGACACATCTCGGTCGTGTCCCAAATGACACCCTATTCCCTTTATGGTGCACTACTTTTGAGTGCATTCCTCATCTTTCATTCATGAACCTGAATAATCTATTTTCCTAGAATACATCCCCTTTTATTCACACTGAAATTGAATGGATTGAAGGAGGTAGCCCTCACCCTCCTTCCGATGTGACCTGTCTTTCCAGGTGATCCATCTCTGCCATCATCTCCCTGTTGAGAAAACACAGCATCAACAAACAGGAGGATATCATCTAGCCTCTGTGTGCACAAGTGCCCCAGAGATGTGAGTTGAATGCAGTGCCAGACCTGAGGTTGGGTTTCCCAGAACAAAGAGGAGAAGGAATGAGAAAAGGATAATAGAGAGACGGAGCATCTTGATCTCACCTTCTCTCCTTTCACTCCCTGTTGTCCCTCAGCTCCATGGCTTCCCCTGACACCCTGCAACATGCAACATAATAGAATGACTTTAAGAAACATCCAAGATGTCAGAGAAAGCTTATCAGGTAGAAAATACAGGTGACCTTCTGGTAGTGGTGTTAGTTTTACATCAATACTTAAGATGCCCATTTGACACTGCTTGAGGTCATCATTATAGGCTAAACAACAAACCCAGAGGGAAACCCGCTCCTATAGGAGCCTAATTCAGTTACATCATCCATCGCAACCCTGTGCCCCACCCCTGTGTCTGTGTACTCACCAGCACCCCTGGGGGACCTTCTGGCCCCTGGGCTCCCACCTCACCCTGTGGCCCCTGTGGTGGGAGAGGAGACAACAACAAACAAGGAAGAATGAAGCCGAAGCAAAGAGGAAAAGAGAATATGGATTTAATGGTAGATATGTCTTGAGGAAAGATTTTAGCCTGAGTGCCAGACATGTTTGACTTAACAATGAGCAATGGAGTTGGCAGGTGCACAAACAGATCTGGGACCAGGCTAAGATGTTACTGCTCTTTACCTCTAAACCAGGAAGTGCTGGTGGCCCTCTGATTCCTGGCAGACCGTCAAGCCCCTAGAGAGACCAATACAAAATCAAATACCTTGTAGACTTATCTATTTCTGATTTATTGCATGGTACAGTACAGTGCCTTGCAAAAGTATTCATCCCCTTTGGCGTTTTTCCTATTTTGTTGCATTACTACCTGTAATTTAAATGGATTTTTATTTGGATTTCATGTAATGGACATACACAAAATAGTCCAAATTGGTGAAGTGAAATTAAAAAAATAACTTATTCCAAAAAATTCTAAAAAATTAATAATGGAAAAGTGGTGCATGCATGTGTATTCACCCCCTTTGCTTTGAAGACCCTAAATAAGATCTGGTGCAACCAATTACCTTCAGAAGTCACATAATTAGTTAAATAAAGTCCAACTGTGTGCAATCTAAGTGTCACATGATCTCAGTATATATATATATATATACACCAGTTCTGAAAGGCCCCAGAGTCTGCAACACCACTAAGCAAGGGGCACCACCAAGCAAGCGGCACCATGAAGACCAAGGAGCTCTCCAAACAGATCAGGGATGGGTTTTTAAAAAATATCAGAAACTTTTAACATCCCACGGAGCACCATTAAATCCATTATTAAAAAATTGAAAGAATATGGCACCACAACAAACCTGCCAAGAGTGGGCCGTCCACCAAAACTCACGGCCCAGGCAAGGAGGGCATTAATCAGAGGCAACAAAGACACCAAAGATAACACTGAAGGAGCTGCAAAGCTCCACAGCGGAGATTGGAGTATCTGTCCATCAGACCACTTTAAGCCGTACACTCCACAGAACTGGGCTTTACGGAAGAGTGGCCAGAAAAAAGCAATTTCTTAAAGAAAAAAATAAGCAAACACGTTTGGTGTTCGCCAAAAGCCATGTGGGAGACTCCCCAAACATATAGAATAAGGTACTCTGGTCAGATGAGACTAAAATTGAGCTTTTTGGCCATCAAGGAAAACGCTATGTCTGGTGCAAACCCAACACCTCTCATCACCCCGAGAACACCATCCCCACAGTGAAGCATGGTGGTGGCAGCATCATGCTGTGGGGATGTTTTTCATCGGCAGGGACTGGGAAATTGGTCAGAATTGAAGGAATGATGGATGGCGCTAAATACAGGGAAACCTGTTTCAGTCTTCCAGAGATTTGAGACTGGGACGGAGGTTCACCTTCCAGCAAGTCAATAACCCTAAGCATACTGCTAAAACAAGACATGAGTGGTTTAAGGGGAAACATTTAAATGTCTTGGAATGGCCTAGTCAAAGCCCAGACCTCAATCATACTCCTGAGTGGCGCAGTGGTCTAAGGCACTGCATCGCAGTGCTAACTGTGCCACTAGAGATCCTGGTTCGAATCCAGGCTCTGTCGCAGCCGGCCGCGACCGGGAGACTCATGGGCGGCGCACAATTGGCCCAGCGTTGTCCAGGGTAGGGGAGGGAATGGCCGGCAGGGATGTAGCTCAGTTGATAGAGCATGGTGTTTGCAACGCCAGGGTTGTGGGTTCGATTCCCACGGGGGGCCAGTATAAAAAATAAAAAATATCTATTCACTAACTGTAAGTCGCTCTGGATAAGAGCGTCTACTAAAATATAAAATGTAGAAATCCAATTGAGAATCTGTGGTATGACTTAAAGATTGCTGTACACTAGCGGAACCCATCCAACTTGAAGGAGCTGGAGCAGTTTTGCCTTGAAGAATGGGCAAAAATCCCAGTGGCTAGATGTGTCAAGCTTATAGAGACATACCCCAAGAGACTTGCAGCTGTAATTGCTGCAAAAGGTGGGTCTACAAAGTATTGACTTTGAGGGGGGTGAATAGTTATGCACGCTCACGTTCTATTTTTTGTCTTATTTCTTGCTTGTTTCACAAGAAAAAATATTTTGCATCATCAAAGTGGTAGGCATGTTGTGTAAATCAAATGATACAACCCCCCCAAAAAATCCATTTTAATTGCAGGTTGTAAGGCAACAAAATAGGAAAAATGCCAAGGGGGGTGAATACTTTCGCAAGCCACTGTATATTATGAAAATGACATTTATAATAAAGCCAGACATTGAATTGGGGTTAAATGGGGTACTGTCTATTTCACAAGAACTGATGTGTTGCTTTAGGGGCCTTAGGGCCAAACTGACAGCAACATTGAATGGGCTCACCTGTTCTCCTGGCTCGCCTAGTCCCCCTGGCTCCCCTTTCTCTCCGTCTGGTCCTAGCTCACCTTTATGGCCCAAGTCTCCCTCAGGCCCAACCTTCCCTACTGGACCCTGCATTAGACACCACACCAGCACATGGATAATGCTATTCGTAGGGGAATCACTGGGAATATGGCTGACTTGACTAGACGGTTGTCTAAAAGATACAGACCTGTGCTCCTGGCTTCCCTGGGTCACCTCTGACCCCTGAGACTCCAGCCACCCCCTGAGAATACAACAACAAGACAACATTAAATTTACCAAAAGGACAAATGCCATTCACCCTGCATACAGTATCAGTACTGTAGAATTAGGTTATGAAGCAACTGTTACCAGAGGCCCTGTTTTGCCAGGAGGTCCGATGTCTCCGCTAGTCCCAGACTCCCCCTGGAGAAAGAGAGAGACAGAGAAAGCAGATTGGAATTACAGATCTGCTCTGGAGTAATTGCTTTGATTTTTTGGGGTAGTGGAAGCATTTCGCATTTCCCTATCCTGAATTGCTCCTCTATTTGATGTACAGGCCAGGGAATCAAGTCATTACCTTCTCTCCTTCAGGTCCATCTGGCCCTGGAGGCCCCCTGGGGCCCATGATACCCTGAGAAGAAGCAGAAGAGACCAATGAATCACTGTCACCCTGACAACACTATGTCCAACCGTCTTTCCTGCGATTACTCGCATCCTAACTCCTGGCCTCCTTCTCAACCATATTGGAGGACTAGATTCAAGGTCCCTCCCTTCAGGTCTTCTTCTCCAATCGGTTTTGAGAAAGAAGCAAAAAAAGAGGATGTGAGGAATCGAGGAAAGATAAATTGAGAAACAGCCTAACAGAGTAGAGAAGTCAAATGTATTGGGAATATATATATGCCCATTGGACATTGATCAATGCGAGTTAATGTCAACAAGAAACGTAGAACTATGAGTGACATATAGTAGTATCTGGTAGTGGTCAATACTTGTCAGAGAAAAACATAATTGACATAAATATCGCTTCCTGACTCACCTGTAGCCCTGACAAGCCTGCAGGTCCTATTCCTCCCATAAATCCTGACTGACCCTGGTGGACACAGCACAGAGGTGGAGTACCAGTCAACAAATTGATCACCCAAAGCCACATCTCAAAAATCATATTGCAAATCACTTCAGTTGATTCCGTTTGATGGTTTTAAAGTGTGTTGAACATAAGCTAGAATGTGCAGCTCATTAGGTATTGTCATCTGAGCACTCACCATAAGTCCGATGTAGGCCTTTTCTCCTTTTGGTCCCTTCTCCCCATTCTCCCCCAGCGGCCCCCATGGACCCTCCCGCCCTGTTGGCCCCAGAGGCCCCACATCACCCTGCAAATAACAGCCATGTCAGTCAGACATCAGCATGATGTAATTTCAACCTGTTTGTAATTACGTTAGTTCAACTACATTTCAACCTGTTTGTAATGATGTAATTGCAACAAATTTTCAACCTGTTTGTAATGATGTAATTTCAACCAGTTTTCAACCTATTTGTAACCACTACCCAACACCTCTATGGTCCTGTCAATAATTTGTGTCCAAAGCAATAGATATGAATAGAATAGATATGCAGTATACATACAGCACATTCACATTGATGCCATAAATATGTGAATCACTGTGTGACGAAAGTCAATGTTTGTTTACCTTCTCCCCTTTGGAACCTGGATCACCGGCATCGCCAGTAGGTCCAACATCACCCTAAGATCCAAAGGAGACATCTCAAGAGTTACACTGAGAGTATAGTGTATGGTCTGGTTGTGTGTATGATGCATGGGTAAAGGGATATGTACTAGGTGCACATGTGAGAATTTACAGGTGATGGTTCAGGTAGGTACAGTAGATGTCAACTGACATAGGCATGCTCACCTCTTTTCCCATTGGTCCATGAGAGCCTTGCAACCCTTTGAGCCCCTGTAGGCCTCGATCTCCAGGCTGCCCTGGAGGACCAAGCTTCCCACAAGGCCCTATGTCCCCCTGGAATACATGTGAAGTAGAAGAAGAAGAAGTATTGAGAAGTGAAATATATCTTTAAACAATGTGTTTGTAGAGGCATCATTGTGTCACCTGTTCCCCTTTTGTTCCTGGTGGCCCCTCCAACCCTGATTGGCCAGGAGTACCCTGGAAACAGGAAATGGAAGAGAACTGTCAGAAAACTCACCTGCCTGAAACATTAGACTTCCTATTCGAAGTGTGTTCTACCAACCTGTTCCCCATCCAGTCCAGGAGGACCAAGAACACCAGGAGGTCCCAGCATACCCTGTGATGTTCCAAAAACAGTGTGGTTTAACACACAGCACATCAAACATTGCTAGATCATACATATTTTGTGTTGCAGAATTCCGGCAACTTTCCCAAATCAGTAGGGAATAAGCAGGACATCCGGAATCCTCCAACCAGGATATCTTGAATACCGGAGAATTTGGGGGAAAGTTACCGGAATTTTGCATTCCTAGACATATTATTGTCATCATCTCATTATATTTGCTGTACTTACCATTTCTCCTCTTTCCCCTGCTGGTCCTATGAGTCCACCAGTACCTGAAATTCCCTGGGAATTGGACCACATAGGGTTTAAAATGGTGGACAACACAGCATCACACTGAAACATGGCTAAAGGGCTGTGCTTGGCATCGTAAACCATGCCAAATAAGCATCCAATGGGTAACGAATCGTAAGCCATCTAATAAATTACTAATTCATTGATTGATTTCACCCACTGAAACCTGACAAGAAATGCATCCAACAGGCATCGATGTCCCACACGAGATTATACAGAGGTTCTACAGAGGTTACAGTCCTCAGAGGTTGTTTAGAGGAGAAGAGAGCAGCGGCTGGAAAGTACACACTCACTGGGATTCCTGCTGGTCCGTCAGGGCCTTGTGTCCCTGGAAGCCCTCTGCTTCCCCTGGGCCCCGGCTTCCCTGTCCCTCCATCTGAGCCCTGCAGACCCGGGGGTCCCTGGAACACACAGGTGAGTAGCTTCATCTATTAGTCTAGTTACCATTGTGTATTGTGTCTACACATTTGGTCTGGCCAAGCAAGACTAACTGTACATTGACAGTGTATTATAGAGCATAAATATGTAAGAACATTTTGACTGTTGATGGAGTAGTGATAAGGCCTTTTCTGCTTTAACTCACCTGTAGGCCCTCTGGCCCTGTGGGTCCCAGATCCCCCAGCCGACCCTGAGGAGAAAACCAAGGGAGATCATTGATGAGGAAAAGAATGGACTACAAAATACAGCCAATGACCAACACATTGCGGATTGATTTTTCAAAGGAGATATTTGGGAAATGTAGTTCTGGTATCGATTGACCCTGGAAGTGATTCCGGTTGATCTCACCTGAGGTCCAGGAGGGCCTCTCTCCCCAGCAGGTCCTGATAAACCCTATAAAATACAGCCAAGTAAGCACAACCTCAATACACCCATCACTCAAACTAATGTCAGACAATGAAGTTGTCTACAAGGACTTGTCACATACAGTATGTGGACTTGTCAATGATAGCAGTTACTTACTAGAGGTCCAGGCTTCCCAGTAGGACCAGGCAGGCCTCTCACACCTGTCTCTCCCTGAGACACAAATACACAGTCCATCACAATAACCACTAAACATTTGAAAGGAAATACACATAGAAACATGTGATGCTGGTGCAGGTCTGGGATGGTTGTTTGGAATAATCACTGACTGCAAAACTCATATGAGTGTCCTTACCCTCTCTCCCATGTGTCCTGTTGTACCACGCATTCCTATGTTACCCGGGAAACCCTGGGGGCAAGAGAGACACAGGAGTGGTAATATAAGCACGTTGCACACACACGATGACAAAACAGAGACATTCTCAGTGTGCTGATCAAACCCATTGCCCCGTACGCCCTACAGAAGCATCACTTACATACATGCCTACTGGGCCCTGGGGTCCCTCCACACCTTCCTTCCCTGTGAAGCCCTGATGGAGAGAGACAGCGTCACACACACACGGTTCAAAGCTGTCCTATTGAGAACCACATCAATCACTTCTATGTTAAATGTGTCACTCACCCTCTCTCCCAGCAGACCTGGAATACCTGTTGGTCCTGTCCATCCAGGTGGGCCCTGTCAATGAGACAGAAGTCACTTAGACTACACGCTGTGTGATAATGGCCTTAGTCCAACACTAACTCTGTTCACGGCTCATCATTGCAACTAGTCATAGATTATATAGGAATGCCTGCCAGATCATTGTGCATGTTTATGATAGCAATATCCACAATCAATGTCCTATTATTGTTGGTGGAACACAATAACTTAAAGTGTCTAATTGGAATAAACTTTTGAGGCTTTCTAGACTCACCGAAGGTCCTGTGGGGCCGTCTGGACCTGGCTCTCCAGCAATGCCCTGGTATCCCTTGATGAAGGACAAGGAAGGTAAAAGAGTGATGGAAAGAGTAAGAGTAGAGAAGAGAATGAGAGAATGATGGGGAGAGGAAGAAAGAAGAGCGAGGGAGCTTATCGCATGGGTGTAGTCGATGAGAACATTAAAATGCAAATAAAAAACGAATTGGAATTGATTACATATAATCCAATTAAAATGTATGCACAATACTGTGAGTTGATTCTGTGTTTAATTGAGTTGATTACTTTTTTGCTATTCAGTTGTTTAATTTACCGCTTAATGACTTTGTAATCATGAGTTAATTTGACCAATTATATGCAGGCTATTCAGTAATTGTGCCTCTGGTTATGTACAGAGGTTAACTGTACCCAATTTAATGGGCTACCTCGTTCGTCTTTGTTACCAATAATACCACCTAATAATGTAAACATCAACAATAGAGTAAAGCCCATGTTCATTAAATCAAAGAAGAACTTTCAGCTATCTAAACTGAAAATCTTTAATCTTTATTTTGAGGTTTTTATGGATATGCTGATGGCAGTGGCACATACATTTTTCAAATTGATAATCATTGGTGTATTGCCCACATGCAAATCATTTCTCTTAACCATCCCTCTTCCTCTGCTTCCTACTTCTGTCTCCCCTCACTGTTCTCCCTGCTTGGTGAGGAGTCTATATTTAAGCAATAAAGCCTGAGGGGGTGTGGTATATGACCAACATACCACGGCTAAGGGCTGTTACGCACGACGCAACACGGAGTGCCTGGATACAGCCCTTAGCCGTGGTATAATGGCAATACACAAACCCTCGAGGTGCCTTATTGCTATTATAAACTGGTTACCAACGTAAATAGAAAAGTACAAATGTAATGTTTGTCATACCCGTGGTATACAGTCTGATATACCACAGCTTTCAGCCAATCAGCATTCAGGGCTCGAACCACCCAGTTTATAATACAGTATATAGCTGAGGTTGTAATACAATACACTGGCCAGGTCACAGACCCTCTGGAGGTGACTGACTGGGGTAGAAACCACTTTTACGCCTCCTCATATTATATTATCCACACCCCATACACTCATACGTTTATGTGAGAGTGTGTGTGCATGTGTGAATGCACAGCTGTGTGTGTGTGCGCGAGTGTGAAACCACCAGTGTGTGTGGCGATAATGAAATATCACTGACCTACCGCCTCACACTCCTAAACCTTTTACTGCTCCCGTTTACAAGCATAGAGAGACCTGATATCGTTAACTAGCTCGGTAGCAAGTAGCTGAGCTGAGCTGGGAGAAAATAGCTGAGCTGGGAGTATTACAGTATATCATTGACCAACCAATGAATTTGAACATAAAGGTCATTATGAGACTGAGTATAAGAAGTTTTTATAGTTACTCAGTTTCCTAGTGACCTTTAAGTGAACCACATGTATTGCGTATGAGTCTCTATGATAAGCCTATGCATACTGTTAATGTATCTTCTTGGTCTTACCTTTAGGCCTTTACTGCCAGTTATTGCCACTGAACCAGAGAGACCCTGCAACACATGAGAAACGAATGTCAACTCAATAGACACCAACAGAGGTCATACACAAGCATTAATGTGAATAAGACACATAGGGCTGACCATTAACAACTACAGTAACTACATAACTACACATTTAAATAAGGACACAAATGCCATTCATCTTGCCATATTAATGTTAGAATGCAATGATATAAGGTTGAAGTTGATGAGTGATGAATTAAAGTTGAAAATGCATATTCCAGTATGTCTGCCCCACGTACAATGACAATCACTTGTGAATCTGTCACATGAAGCAGGGTTGTGAAGATTGCCATCAGCTGTTCAGAACCAGAATGACTACAGTTCATTATCTGATTACAGAAACGCTCAGGAGTAGGGTTGCAAAATTCGGTAACTTCCAGGAATTTTCAAACTGGGAATTCTGGAAACACTGGACATTTTGGGAAAGTTACCAGAATTTCTCAACCCTACTCAGGAGACATTTTACTATAATCCTTTCTGATTACACCTATAATTTTCTTGAGCAATACTTTCAAATATTTTCTCAATGATCTGCCAATATATGCAGTGCATACAGGAAAAAATCTGACAAAAGAAACATTGTTGTCACGGTTTCGGCCGAGGCTGCCTCTCTCCCTTGTTCGGGCAGGCTTCGGCGTTCGTTGTCTCCGGAATACTAGCTGCCACCGTTGTATGTTTCATGTTCGTTTGCTTTTGTCTGTTTGTTGTCACACCTGTTCTTGTTTAGCCTAATTAGTGTTCTATAAGTTTCTCGTTGTGTGTGTCTAGTGTTGTGTGTTATTGATTTTTGTCATTCGTGTATAGGGCGTGATTCCTGTATTTAGCTCGGTTGAGCTTCCCTCCACTGTTGGAGTATTTACGCACCTGTTTGTGCGCTTTTGTTTTGTTCGCCTTCGTGCGTATTTCGCCTTCGGGCAAGAGTTGACCTATTGCCGTGTTTGGCGATCACTAAAGCCTGTTGGACTATCCGTCTGTGTCCTGCGTTTGATTCCACCACTGCACCCACCTACAGCACGCGTTGACAGAATAACACACCTTTTAAATGGAATCAGCAGGAGCCGCAGCAGCCCAGGCGACGCTGGAGGACAGGGTCCGGGAACAAGGTGACCAGATCCTGCAGATGGGGACCGCACTGCAGGAGGTGATCACCACCATCCGAGGCTGGGGGACGCCTCCACCGCCACCCGCCCTGCCAGCACCATCGGCCAGTCAGCCTATTCCCGCACCGGAACCCCGAGGAGTCCGACTCTCACTCCCGAGGGCTTACGATGGAACCGCGGCTGGGTGCCAGGGTTTCCTTCTCCAGGTGGAGCTGTACCTGGCCACCGTGCACCCGGCGCCCTCGGGACATGAGAGCGTGTCCGCCCTGATCTCCTGCCTGTCCGGGAAGGCGTTGGAATGGGCCAACGCGGAGTGGAGGAGGATCGACGCGGACACCATAACCTACGAGGAGTTCTCCCGCCGCTTCAGGGCGGTGTTTGACCATCCCCCGGAGGGGAAAGCGGCGGGGGAGCGTCTGGTCTTCCTCCGGCAGGGGAGGAGGAGTGCTCAGGAGTTCGCCCTCGAATTCCGTACTCTAGCGGCAGATGCAGGGTGGAATGATCGGGCCCTCGTCGATCACTACAGATGTAGTCTACGAGAGGACGTCCGTCGGGAGCTGGCCTGTAGGGACACCAGCCTCACGTTCGACCAGTTGGTCGACATGTCCATCAGGCTGGATAA